AACGTAACTTTTTAATAAGCAGGGGAAATTCCGCTAGTTTACGCCTAGGGTGTTTGCATTGTAAGAATGTACAGGGATACATCAGATTTAAAAACGCTGACTTGTTAGGTGAGATGTTCTCTCATTAAATTCACACTTTTTCCTATTAATTCAAAGGAATGTATGGGAATACTGGGGAATACCAATATGGCGGCGCGGCGGCTTCACTTTCATGACGTCATGAGCAATCCAGTTCTCTATTATAGATCAGTGGTTTGAACACTGTTCGGTACAATTAGCTGCTCTAAGCCAGAGGCCACTGGAAGGGTAGGACAGGCACCCAAGAAAATACATAACCAAAATCACATGGAGCACTGCGTTTCATTATCGGTTTGGCAATCTCGTCCACCTTGCATCCAACCAATATTACACTCGGGGATTAATCCTTACAGCTTATGTAAATGGTTTAAAATGGCACAAGAACTTATTTGCGCATCTGCATGGCTCTCTGTGGGGTTTTGTTAAGGTCAGTAGAAATTTATGAAAAAAAAGTGGGATATTGACCGATTGTTCCCAATTTGACTCCATCTTGTGCAATCTACCCTTCACCCTGTTACGTGATTCCCTTCATCGCTTCAATAAATCCCAATACTGAACACAGATGACCCACTACAGGAGGTCTCAAACTCCAAACACCTAGAGAGAGGCACATGTGGTGGGCAGGCTGAAAAATTGCAACAAATACAAGTAGTAAATTTTACATTTTTACTAACTTGATGAAAAGTGACAGTAAATACTTTTACACTGTTAGAAAATATTTCTTTTTGCATAGTAACAGAGAAGCAGCCAGAGACTCACCGCGCCTTCAAAAACATCCAACTGAGGTGCGTAGACCAAAAAAGGTTACCCAAAGGTGAAGAGCTTGAAAACAGTTTGCACACTCAAACATCAAAGCATCACAAGCGAGATGAGAACAATATAAGCAATTTACTGAATGAAACAAGGCAAACGTTTCGGTCACATGTTGACCATTTTCAATGCCAAGCTAACCTTTTTGCATAGTAAGACACGTGTCTTGAACACCAAATCAGCATATCAAAATGATTTCTGAAGAATCATGTGACACTGAAGACCTGGGTCATGCATGCTGAAATTCTGCTTTGCGGAGAAGGAATAATTCACATGAATAAACAGATCTTTAAAAAATATATCAATATAGAAAACAGTTATTTTACTGTATTCACTTGTTGTATTCACTATACTGGAGATATAATGCAGGAGCAAATTAGTGAAGAAGAGAGTGATTCGGGAAACACTAACATTAACTACTTTTGATGAATACAAGCATGCAATGTCTTCATAAAGAGTACAACTTCAATTATATTCCTGTTTTAGGTCTGTTATAAGGCATGTTGAACTGATATATATTCAGCTACTGCAATAATCCTTACAAAAACTAAACGGGAAAAAGTATCTTTAAATTTAAGGATAAACTTTCATATGCAAATATAAACCTCCTTTCATGTGTAAAGAATTTTAAAAAACTCCAAAGAATGATGCCACATGGAACTAAAGGAAGAACACAAACTAACAGACGTGAATTCCCTTTGAAAAACAAAGCAGATGATCAGACTCAGAGAGCAGACCATCAGAGAGTTCAAACCAAACAGTCCCCACCATCCAGATTGGACCGGTAGAAACTCACCAAGTACCAGAGCTTCGGGAGCCAACAGTTTGCTCAAACTATGGACCAGGACGCAGGCTGATGAGGAGAGAGGAAAAAGGGACAAAGTGGAACGAAAGGCTGGGCCGGGGCGACTGGAAGTAGACCAGCAACAGAACAAACAGGTATCTCTAATTACAACTCATGGTGTCCACACGCATTTGCTCATGTCAGAACGTGAATGCATTAAATCCTGCTGGAAGAATACGCATCTACTGTACCTCAGTCCTGCCTACCTGGATGAATGCACATATTGTTTTATTCTCCAACTTGCCCTCTTCTGCAACATCATCAGAGACAAAATTAACTTTCCAGAAACCAGTGTTGGGGAAGCTACTTTGAAACTCTAGCTTTCCAAGCTACACGCTACTCATAATTTGAAATGATTAAAGTACAGTAAAGCTTCTATTGAGAAAAAGTTACAAAACTAGTCCCAGAAACAAAAAGCAGCCAACTACATTACTAAATTAAAGCTGGTAGGATAATATCTGTTGTTAAATTTAAAACTACATGATTATATCATTCATAAAAGCAGCAACACAAATAATGAGGATTAAAACTTAAACAGAAGACTGTCAGCAGGGATAGACTCATGGGCATTGGACCGACATACTGTATAGTGCCGCTGCGCTTCGGGTGTCCCGGGTTTGAGCCCCAGCTTGTGGACCTTTCCCCAGTCCCGTTCCCCTTCTTTTTCCCACTTCCCTTCTTTTAAAAACGTACTGTCCTATCAAAATAAAAGGCAGAAATGCCAAAAATAAATCTTAAAAAATAAATAAATAAATACAGTGCATCCTAACATATAGGATTTAGCTGGAAACATCAGCAGAATTTAACTAAATATTTTGTTAAAAGAATACATGTGTCACACTTCTGCACAGGGACTCAAATGGGTGAATCATTTCTTGAATCATTTCATTTAAACAAACCGACTGAACAAACAGGAGAATGGGTTGAATTTCCAACGCTTCATATAAGACAGAAGACCGTTTAGGAGAGCTCCTCAGCTCGCTTGGCTGTAAAGCTGCATGCACAATAAAACGTGACATAAAAACCAGCCATGTAGTGTTTCATTGCATTACACCTGGAAAAGCTACACTATTCTGAAAAAAAGCTGAACCAACTTCAACTACTGAAAAAATTCAGTTAGAAGAATCAATGCTTTTGTGTTCTTGAAAGTATTGTGATGTAACTAACAAAAGGTTCACACAAAAAAAGTCAACACTTTATAGCACGGCATCACATGCACACACACACACTCATGGCTTTGGTCTTTTTCAGTGAGGGATATTTGAACTCTTGTGACATCTTTTTGGCTACTTTTACTCCCCACTGTTTCATAATTAGGATCAGCAACCTGTTCATATTGAGAGGAACTGCTAGTGACTAGAAGAGCGGAGAACTTTCTGAAGAAAATGTGAGGGTGGTGACTGTCTGTGCAAAATTAGCATTGATGAAGCTAAGGTGTTGCTAAGGTGTCTCTGAGTGGTTTTAACCAAGTGGCAGCGGTACTCAATCTCTTTGACTTTTAAAGGGGTCCTATTATGCTTTTTCACTTTTTCAACTTTAGCTAGTCTGTAATGTTGCTGTTTGAGCATAAAAAAGATCTGCAAAGTTGCAAAGCTCAAAGTCCACTTCAAAAGGAGCTATTTTATTTAACAGAAATCACTTTTCAAAAACTACAACGAACGACTCGTTTGGACTACAACGCACATTTTCCGGGATTTGTGATATCACAAAGATCGACGAATGGGACGAGACCTGGTAATGAGTGTTATCACTATGTCAGAGACACGCTAGCTTTCCCAAAGCAGACGAACTTAGAGTGGTTACAATCATCCGGGTTTAAAGGGGTCATATGATGCTGCTAAAAAGAACATTATTTTGTGTATTTGGTTCAGAAGGCGGGCCTTCATTTGATACAGGAACTATTCGAGCCGTTCATGCCAGACTGGGGAGAGAGGTGTTGTAATAATGTAAAACATGTGAAAAATAATGTGTTTTTCGAACAACCTAGTATGAGAACCTGTTCAAGTACACCCCCAAAACAAAATCAAGACTTTGTAAAAGAGCATAATAGGACCCCTTTAAGGACCCCTACTATCCAACAATATTCAATATCTCCATAACTTTTTGTTTGTGATTAAGAATTTGTAAATATATTTTTACTTAAAATTTCTACCCAATAAAATTGAACTTGACATAACTAGAAAAATGTATATTTATAAAATGTATAAAAATGCCCATGAAGTAAAAAAAACTTTTCGAGGTCTAGAAATCAGGTTTTTTCACAGTGAGACTCCTGGATCTTCATAGAGAAAGAAAAATTAAATAAGTGAATTGAAATAAGAAATAACTTTTTATACTTTTTATAACTTGATTCTTATTTTGAATCATTTTAAGTTATTGCGAGGGCCCCTGTTGGAATTGTTCCGAGGCCAACTTCTCTATGATATTTTGGTACCAAGATATGTAACAATGTAAAAAAAAAAAAATTGTTTTTGCCCATTTTAACCACCTTCAAAACAAAAATATAAAGTCTGATTGCTTAGAAAATTATTAGTTCACCTCCTCTCAGTGAGCCACAAGATTTGAAGTATCATTCATGTGCAATAACTTTAGCAATAGTAATGCCTGCCTCAGAAACCACCACCAACGGAGCTTCACATAATAACATCTAACATGGCTAGTTTTATTCCTCAGTGAAGAAGGATAAGGAAGAAAGTAAAGAAAGATATGTTAAAGAGAATGGAAAAAGCGAGGCCAGATTTTTATAGTGCTTGGGAGATCTTAAGGTCTATTTGGCATTTCATATTCTAATGCACTCCTCACCCCATCTTGGTCTAATAACTTTAAAAGAAAGCAGAGGACTTTTCTGCATTCCAATGAAAAATCCACTCAATTTCTCTCATATGTGTTCCCTGGGTCTTCTCCGTGTCTCCGTGCACTGTCCTTGAAGTAGTGTCCATACACAGTGTTCCACGATTCCTCTGGCATAAACAAAAGCGACCTGAAAGGATCTTTGATTTGGAACAGATTGGTAGCTCTTTTTCCTCCAGACTAGATGACTAGATGGTCAGAGATAAGATGAAAGGAAAAATGGGGAAAAAGCACGTTAAACTACCGAAGAACAAGGACTCTGTCCTTCCCTCAGAGACTTCACATTGAAACCCAGCCGTCAGGTCAGATGCGAGCACATGAGGCAGCTGTCAAAGAGTAGTTCTGATACACCTCCAGGCATTACTCAGACATGAGCGCTCACTCTCGCTCTCTCTCTCACACACAAACGCACACACACCTGTTTCATGGCAGTCTCTCCGATCTTATCCGAATGCTTGCGGATGCTCTCCAGGAAGTCTTTGAGGTCAGACATGGAGACGTCTCTGATGTGCGTGCGCAGGCGTGGGATATTCTCTGACATGATGCCGCAAAAACGGTATGATCCAGCTTGAGGCAAACAACTCTCCTCCAACTGTTCCAGGGTTCGTAGTGCTGGGTAGTATCTGGGTGAAAATACGGCAGGGTCAGAAATGATTGCACATATCTGTCACTTCAAAAACCTTCCCACTAATGACCTCACATGCAGGGCTCAACAATAAGGTTTTTCAACGGCGACAAAGCAACAACTTTTTTATGTAGCAAACAATATTTTATATGAAGAAATTAATTAGTACATACCATCATATAATTTATTGATGCATTTTCACACATACAGGTGCATCTCAATAAATTAGAATGTCGTGGAAAAGTTCATTTATTTCAGTAATTCAACTCAGATTGTGAAACTCGTGTATTAAATAAATTCAACGCACACAGACTGAAGTAGTTTAAGTCTTTGGTTCTTTTAATTGTGATGATTTTGGCTCACATTTAACAAAAACCCACCAACTCACTATCTCAACAAATTAGAATACTCCATAAGACCAATAAAAAAAACATTTCTAGTGAATTGTTGGCCTTCTGGAAAATATGTTCATTTACTGTACATGTACTCAATAAGTGGTAGGGGCTCCTTTTGCTTTAATTACGGCCTCAATTCGGCGTGGCATGGAGGGGATCAGTTTGTGGCTTGTTAAATGTGAGCCAAAATCATCACAATTAAAAGAACCAAAGACTTAAACTACTTCAGTCTGTGTGCATTGAATTTATTTAATACACGAGTTTCACAATTCGAGTTGAATTACTGAAATAAATGAACTTTTCCACGACATTCTAATTTATTGAGATGCACCTGTATATATATATATGCATTAAATATTTAGTATTACTTTTTAAATGTTATTTACATTTTTTTAACTTTTTTTTTTCAGATTGTTTATACTTTTAAAAAAATATATAATATACATATATTATTTTGATTTTTTTAATATTTTTATATTTCTTTATATTAAATATTTAATATTTTATTTGTTCTATTTATGATTTTAAATAGAATTTCTACAATTTCTTTATTAGCCATTTATAGATAATTTTACCTTGGTGGCATTTAAATCAGCAAAATCCACAAGAAAAAAGTTCAATACATTACAATAAACCAATCCTTTAAGTTTGCCAAGCATAAAAACACACATATTGTACATGACCGACAAACATAAGATTGCACTGAAGGACAAATGACAGTCATGTAAACTGACCCAAAACTCTCCCCAGGCCATCCTTACTGTTGAGCGTTGCACATGCAGTACATGTTTTTAACCTTTGGTTAAAAACTTAGATCTCAGCATGATAACAATTTAACCCAATCAAGATGATCTCAGAGATGAGCTATGCTCATTGCACACACGCACACACACACACTCAATACAGCATCACAGTCACGCAACATTACACAGCAGACCCGACGCCGGGGAGAGCGTCTCTCTTGGCCGACCCTGCTGCTACCTCCAAGCTAATGGCAAAACCAAGCACAAGAGAGAGATGGAGAAACACGGAGAGCAGAGATAAATAAAAACCAAAAAGGATGGAAAAGTTGCAGGCCCATGCCGATGCTCAGGTCACACGGAGGACACGAAAAGACACTAAAACCAATGCTTCAAAAACGTTTTGAGTGGCACTTTCAAACGCTATTTAGGTGGACCATCTTTTCAGGGGTTTTTACCATTTTGATACACAAATATGATGATCCCTTAGCGAGGGAACCTCTTTTTTAAAGGCAACTATATATTTTTTCTACATATTAAAATAACTACTTCTATTTTTTAAGAAAAAATGCAAAATTAATTCAAATTAATTCATGGATTAAATGTATCTCTTTTCTACCCCCTACTAAAGTGAATAAATGTCTGAATATTTTCCATTGAATTTAAATGCATTTTTACAGTTAACTTTAACAGTCATATTATATTGTGTATAATCTTTCTTTCTCTCTCTCACATTTTTCACAGATGACCCCTGAGGATTGCAACATGCTTGTATATACAGTCGTGGCCAAAAGTATTGGCAGTGACATAAATTTTGTGTTTTGCAAAATTTGCTGCTTAAGCTGTTGTGGTGTTCATTCACATTGTTTCTAGATTATGTCACTGCCAATACTTGTAGAAAGAATGTGAATGAACACCACAACAGCTTAAGTAGCAAATTTTATAAAACACAAAATTTGTGTCACTGCCAATATTTTTGGCCACGACTGTAAGAGCTGAGTGCTCATGAGGATGCAGGTTAAAATCCTGTATCGTCTCCACCTGGTTCCACCTTTCACTCCCTCCATCTTTCTATCAGATCTACTATTCTTGACCATAAAAACAAAAAAAAACATAAATAAGAAAGATGCCTGATTATGCTGGGACAGTTCAAAGTATGCAGCTGCTAAAGCTAAGAAAATCCAATCCAAATGTGTCCTCTGTGTCTCTGACTCTTGACAGCTGCCAAATGCTGCTTTGGACATCTCAGACATCTGAAAAACACTCTCTCCGTGTCTGTCTGGTCACTGCTTCAGTCACATCAGACTGGATGAGATACTCCAGTAGTCCAGTGATCTACGGTCTGTTTAAATCATCAACACTTTGCTCTCTCTTTCCCAGCTGGGAATGTCCTGTTCTCAAATTAGCTTTTTTTAAGTAAAGGTGTTAAAATATTTTGGGCACTGAACTGCACTTGTGTATTTAAGTTCAACCTTGATAAGTTTATCTCTAGTGCCACCTAGTGCTCATCTGCAGGTTACACAAAAAAGGCATGTGTGCAGATGTCATACCTTTTGGACCTCATCTGCTCCTGCAGATTGCTATACATCTCCAACACTGCAAGAAAAAATGCAAGTGGAATGCATGTGAGCTTTCAAGCAGTTAAAAAAAAAAAAAAAACATACACTACAGTTCAAAAGTTTGGGGTGGATAGGATGTTTTTGAAAGTCCCTTATGCTCACTAAAGCTTTACATTGGAAACATAATATAATTATGCTGTGGTAAACAATTATATTATGTATATGTCTATGTACATGTATATAATAATTTTACAGTGAAAACATAATATTTTGAAATATTATTACAATACAAAACAAAGCTGAATTTTCAGCAGCCATTACTTCACTCTTCAGGGTCCCATAATCCTTCAGAAATCATTCTAATATACTGATTTGGTGCTCAAGCAGTAGTGCTGCTTAATTTTGTGGAAAACCTTTTTCAGGATTCTTCAATGAATAGAACGTTCAAAGAAGAGCATTTATATGAAATAGAAGTATTAATTGCCTTGCTGAAGTATTAATTTCTTAAAAAAAAAAAAAAAAAACTTTTGAACATTAGTGTAAATACAACAAATAGTAGATAAGCAAGATGTTTGAAAAAGCTCAGGCAGAGGGGCCTGATGTTTGTACCTGGTAAGCAGTGTGTGAGTTTGTCAATGGTGGTGGCGATATTCCTCTGCTGCAGACGGCACTGTCTCAGCTCATCCATCGATGTCAGGAGCTACAGGAGACGCAACCACCGATTTTAATAATGCTATTCATATATTTGCTTTTAATGTAACAAGTTCTGAATCAAAGACTAAAAGCAAGCAGGACACACACCTCCTTGCCGTCAGTTTGGAGCTTCTGATTGGTCTCGGTCACCTGACACTGAGGAAGACAAAGCAATTTCAACCAATTATCCGGGCGTGATCAAAACAGAAACACAAACTATATATGTCTGGATTTTTCCTGACATATTACACACAAGTGGTTGAAATCTTTTTTTAGTTCAGGTCTTTAATGTTTCTCTTTTTTCTTCTGTCTGGTTTTATAGGATTTCCTCAAACCCTAATTTTCTCTTTCTGCACCTTGAGTTTCTGGGCTTCTCCGCGCACTTTGAGCAGCTCAGTAATGGAGTCCACAAAGCCCTGGAAGTGATGGTTGCACATCTTCTCAATTTCGCGGTCGTGGTTGCGGATCCGCCCTTCCAGTTTATCCATGAAGAGTCCATGTTCCTGTCCATCATAAACAGACCTTCCAGAAAAAATAAGGACAAAATAAAAAACAATGTCAAATTACTATATATAAAAATACATGTAGTCTATATTACATCAGCGCTACATACAACATATTATACTATTACTGATTATTTATTTACACACATAAACGGACACCTGAAAAGATTATCAAAAGACATATGAAGTGCCTTGTTGCTCTTTAACTGTTTTGAAATTATGTAATATAATCAACAACATTATAAATGAGATTGCTAATTTAGGCCCAATCCCAATTCTACCCCTTAGCCCTTCCCATTTCCCCTGCCCCTCCGTTTCGCACGTTCACGTGAAGGGGTAGGGGTGTCTCGATTCTCTTTTGGTTGGAGGGGTAGGGGTAAGGGGAAGGGCCAGATAGCCCTTCAAACGAAGATTTTTCGGCACCACACTTCAAACGAAGGTGTATGAATTATCTCAGCGTAAACCGGGTTCAGGGGCAACATGGCTGCTCGAGCGAACAAAAAGACACATAAATTAAAGTTGCATGTATGCGAGTCCGTTTCTCTTTTTAGAGTGAGTTTACTTCAAAAACAGCGGTGTGAGCTCCAGGATGTGTGAGCTGCGCAATCTCTGATATATATATATATATGTGTGTGTGTGTGTGTGTGTGTGTGTCAGTAAGCAGCGCATTAATATAGAATGGTAATTAAAGGCTCTAATGCACACCAGCACACCAGTATAGGTGTGTGTATTGTAGGAGCTAGACGACGTGGTGACGTGTGCCGTATAGTAGTGGTGTCCCAATTCTTAGGGGAATATTTTTTTTAGGGGAAGGGGAAGGAGTATAAAATAGAATTGGGATTGGGCCTAAAGTCTCTGTAAAAAGTCAAATCTTTCTCCATTGGCGATGACACTAGGTGTTTACCACTAGATGGCAGTAGAAGATATGAAATAAACACTCCTCAAGAAGCTTGGAACTTCAGATGAATCCAAGAACAATTTGTAAGTACATATATTTTTCTTTTTCATTTAAAATCAGACCAAACACAGCATATAGCAAGGGTTATTTGAAAATATATTTAGTTTTATCCCATATTCAGCTCTGCGAACAAAAAAATTGTTCTATACCACACAGCATGTTTTCTTGTAGATTCCATTTTTAATTTTACACACCTGACTGAGGTCCATAACAAGTTTCCAGTACAAGTGACAATAGAACACAATTAGATTAGATCTGATTCAATTCGGTTTGGTTCTAAGGTGTTCTTCTCAATAAAGACAGTGCCCAGAGCAGTTTATCATCATATGAAAATTAACCATGATTAACAGACAATGTCATAGTGAGGAGGACTGTCAGGGAAACAAGCTATGTCCTTTTCAGTAAAATACAGACTAATTCAGGACACAAACACACCAGCACATGGCTTCACCTGAGCACAGCCTTCCTGTGGCTCAGGAAATGTCGTCCATTAGCACAGTCTTGACGTCACTGATGGCTTCCTCCACAAACACTCACACACAGTAAACACACCTCAAATCCAGGGCTGCAAGGTGAAAGCACTTCCCAACCTAAATTTACCATTTTTATCTAGAGGAAGATGCTGGAAGGAAATGTGAGCACTGTACAGGAAAAAAAGAACACTGGGGCAGACAAATGAGCAGACATGCTCCAATTAGTCATGCAATGCCTCAAATACTCAACACTGACCGATACAACTATTAAGTCGTTATAAAACAGAACAGAAACCATGTTCTCAAAATAAATCTGGCATGACTTGATTTTTTTTCCAATCGAGAAATGCTGGATTGGCCAGCCCTCACAATGATGTACATCATCAATGAGGAGATATTTATGAGGGATTATGAGGGCACATTTGTGAATTAGAAAAAATTAATAATGTACATCAATAAATCATGTGTAATAATCTTGACTCAAAGTACTTTTTCCGATTCTTTCCTCCCACTGCTTCCTGTCTCATCAGACACCGTTCTAACAAAGCCAAAAAAAAAGACTTAATGAATAATGTTAATTTAAAAATACGTTTAAAAAAAACTAATAAAAAGAAAAGAAAATATAACCACTAAACATTTTGGAAGTAAGGGTCATCTTCAATAATCTGTGTTGCACAACTCCCTTAGCAAGAGTCACAAAAACAAGTAAAGGGATGGGAACAAAAAGCTGAACAAATTGTAAATAGCCCAGCTGGAGTGGTCCAGCTGTGTGAGACTCTACCGCATCTGGCTCAAGGACACCTCTCAGTCCAGTTATTTGAAAAAAAAAAATAAATAAGCATCAGGCATCATTGTCCAGACTCTTCCTTACAGATAATCAAATTTAATTAGCCATCACTTCTGGCCCCCATTGTTACAAGCATTATTGGGAAACAGGGTGACGTTCCCAAAACTGAAATGTGATACCCTCCTTGAGAAAAACTGGAGCCTGACATTTTCCCAACACTCCCTGGTAGAGAAATAACGGATATATGAGAGAGAGTGAAAAAGAGAGAGAAGAAGAAGACGAAGAAGAAGCCGTTTCCACTTAAACATGTCACACACTCTCTTTCAAAAAAAACACACAAACATGCCACTTAACTGAAAAGCCATAATGTCCAGAAATGTGTTGTAGCAAATCAGTGGACCATTACTTTGCAATTACTCTGCTTTTCTGCTCTGATATGAACACCAAGGGTGTCATAAAATGAACAACTGAAGGCCATCTGTGTCTCCATTCCTGAAAAACATAGTTGTAAATTCAGCTTTGCCATCACAGGCATAAACTACAGTTTAAAATATATTCTAACAGAAAAACAGTTCTTTAAAATTGTAATGACATTTCTATATTACTGTTAGATTATACTGGATCTGTTTGAACAAATACAGCCTAATTCATTTGGTCTAGGAATGACAACATTGCTCTGAGCTCTGTGTGTGTGTGTGTGTGTGATGTTGACCTGTTACGCAGCATTCCTATTCACAGCATTTCGTTTGCAAACTGTCGTCACCCTAGACTAACTTAAGGAAAACCTATGCTTACACTCTTAAAAATAAAGGTGCTTCAAAAGGTTCTTCAAGCGATGCCATAGAAGAACCATTTTTGGTTCCACAAAGAACCATTCAGTCAAAGGTTCTTTAAAGAACCATCTCTTTCTTACCTTTTTATAATCTGAAGAACCTTCTTTCGCCACAAAGAACCTTTTGTGAAACAGAAAGGTTCTTCAGATGTTAAAGGTTCTTTATGGAACCATTTAGACAAAAAGGTTCTTCTATGGCATCGTGAAGCACCTTTATTTTTAAGAGTGTATGTGTGCTATTATGTCATATCCTGTTAGCTGACTGAAATCTAGAGATAGCTCAATGGCAGCTGGGAAACAGAATGGATCGGAAATAGAGCAGAGGATCTAAACTTAGAAGCCCCACAAACACACGTCAGCACCTCACACCAACAATAGCAGTGCACTTTTTTGTCTATGATGTAATAGCATACCTACTGATCTGTACTTTTATCTTTTCAAACTTACTGTACCAGGTAGTTGAGTTCAACAGAGACAAAAATGTGTAAAAAAACAAAAAAATAAATAAAACTGTCTAGTCTTCACTGTACGCATTAAATACAGATTAAAGCTAATACAGATGGCTGCAACTGAGAGCTATCTGTATGAGAGCCAAAAAAACACTGAAATAAAACTGTTACAGTATTTTTGCTATGGTACCAAATCTGGTACCAAGAGCAGTGGAATTTCACTAGTACTACTGGTACTGACCACTGACATTTCGGTACCGTGACTACACTAACCACAGGAGAAATGACAATCGAAAATGTCTAACAGTTTATTATGTCTACCGGTATATGGACGACCTCTATAATGACAGATTCAACAACACTAGGCCACATTATGATATGATCTTAGTAATGATCTCTGGGCCAAAAATGCAGATTAAAAAAAAGCCATATACTAGACCATAAATAGGAGCAAATGCTGAATTGCTTGAAATATCTGAATGTCAGTCATATCAATTTGGCAGAAAATTAAGGCCCTGGCTGTTCCCTCATTCCCTGACTATGGCTGCAACAGGGACGCGGGAAGTAGGGGTGCTGAGGGGGCTGCAGCACCCCCTGTTTTCACATGGTTGCAAATGCAACGCCAAGTTTGTTCATTTAAATTTATTCAGTTTTAGCATTTAATAATTTATTTGTAATGATCTCTGAAATGTAAATTGTAAGTGGGCTATAATAAACCCATGTTTATCTTTATAAACATGATTAATTTTACTTGTGATGTTTTCTATATGGGATGATTAGCCTAATCCTCATGAACACGTGACGCTGGCGCGTGGTATCAGACATGAACTATACAGAATGCGAACAAAATTAACGTTAATACAGGTAGATAATGGCGCAAAAGCGAATTTCAGATTTTTTTAAATGCCCATCCCAGCAAAAACTTTCCAAAATCGGCATCCAAACAACACCAGCCCCAGCACGAGCACCAACGTAAGTGAACCAGCCCCCTTTCCTATTGGATTGCTCCCGAAAGTCGCTCTTCATTTGCATAAAGTTAAAGGATTCTGAACTTTGTCGCGTCGCTGGACACGCCCCATCCGGTCGCCAACGGCCGCTGTCGCTTGTGTCGCTGGAAATCGCCAGCTCTCCATTGAAATGAATGGGATTGTGTCGCTTTGCTGTTGCGTGTCGCTTGTAGTGTGAACGGGGATTTATTGACCCTGGACAAGATCCTTCTCTGATGGCGAGGGCAGAACTCCATCTGGAGGTTCTGAGGTAACGTTAGAAGCTCTAAAAGAGGAAATAGTCGTACGCAGTACACTGGCTAAACACTGAAATCTGATCACTGTCTAACAGAGGGAAGAGTGTGCAGTCACTGCAGTTCATGACTCAATCACGGTCTCATCTCAAGTACTGAAATAACCTTTCACTTAATTAAACTTTGAGATTTATTTTTGTATAAAGTTAACCAACAAGCACCTACAAATACAATTCTAGCATGATCATTTCTAGCACACTAAGACTGTTGTGTTGTTCGA